CAGAGCTGCTGTGTTTCCCTCCCCTGTTTTCTTTTCATCCATGCTAACAATCAGGATACGGTGGTTTTGCGTTTTAAAATGGGTTTCTGCCCCCCCTCTCTCTGCCGTCGGTTGTCATGGTTACCATTGCCAGGCTTAGAGCATATTGTAACCCGTTTCCCTGAAGCCCTGGGGGGCGTCTGCGCCGCCGGCAGCCCGGCTTCCTGTCATGGCGTCCCTCGGCCACCTGCTCCTCACTGAGAGCCTGGCTTTCACTGCCAACGGGTCTGTAGTTTGATTCCAGTAAACTTCCTCTAACATCGCAGCACAGCGCTCCTTTGATAACCTGTGCAGGTATCTAACTTCTCCACATTTTACAGTAGACTTTGTTTTCCTGTCCTCTAAGAAACATGTATATTTTTTTTTTAGTTCTTTTTGGCAGATAAACGTATAAATCGATGAAATCAAGAAAATTATAAACATGCATCAGTTTTCTTTCCTTTTGAATAAATCAAGGAAACTACGACAAAAAGAGAAAACAAAGGTTGCGTTCCCCCTGCAGGCCTTGATGCTCAGATGCAGGTCGCATTCAAACGGATCAGATTCAGAGCTGAGGGGCGCGGATCGCATTGGAAAAAATCTGATCTGTTGTTCAGTCATGAAAAGATCAGATCCAGGTTAAAAAAATCAGATTTGGTTGACTTCAGGCTGCGGGGTGAAACCCTAACCCTATTCCATATATCCAGCCTTGACCTCTGAGCAAATCAAATTGGCTCAATAGTATCAAATATATCACATTTATCCCCTAATATCTTCTATGTAATTCAAAAATATCCCCAAAGCTGATTGAACAGATCTGCTACTGAAGGTTACCCTCTCATAGATTACCCACGACCAAAATCACATAATTTAGAAAAGGAGTAAATCATGATAATCGAAATTAAAATAACTAGTTAGGGAAAAAGTTTAAACTTACAGAAACCTGGCTGCAGCAAGCGGATTATGGGAGCATAAATGAGGCAACTCCTTCAAGCTATTTAAATTTTCACATCCCCAGAAGTTCTGGGCGAGGAGGAGGAGTAGCAACAATCGTCATCCGCGCGGCGGACTGTAGTAGTAACAGGCAGCCCGGGCCACAGGCGGCTACGCTCTACCCCTTCTATTCATTCTAGCTCATCTGAATCGTTCATCTAGAGAGCGAGATCATCAGTGGTAGCAGCTCTAGACATCTTCCAGGCATGAGAGGAAAACTAGCAGCAGTTCAGCGGACAGGATGAATGAACGGTAGCCGGCGGGCGTGGATGACATCACACACACTCTGCTTTATTTTAAAAAGATTTAAATATAAATAATCTAACGGTGTATATCTGGGGGACAGTGATTGGCCTCCATGTTCTGAATGCTGGCGTACCATAAAGAATAAATGATGAACAGTTTAGTTTGTGCCTTCAAGTCGTTGCCCATAGGAAGACGTTACTGGATATAACCTAACGGAATATCTTCAGAACGGCTCCAAATGACACTAAACTCAGATGGGAGAGTAGAACATGATGGAATAACGGGAAATCAAGGACTAATGGAAAAATAAACGGCGTTCCCCTTTAAAAGGTGTTCAATCGACAAACTTTCTGAATATGAATGAAAGTAAGACAGAATGTTTGGTTCTAGTCCAGTTATTTTTATTTTTTTCCTGGCCCGTTGGGCTGTCTTAACATTCGTTCATCAGTAAAAAAATCTTGGTGTAATATTTATCCAACCCTGGATGTTTTAAATGTGCTTTATAAATAAAGTTTGAGTTGAGATCCTCCTCCAAAGCTCATCAAGTCGTCTAGAGGAATAAAATCCTCCATTAGAAGCTCATCAGTGTTTCTATACATTTAAGAAAAAAAGTTGAGTTTCAGTCAGAGAAATCCTCCAATAGTCCAGCAGAGTTCGTGTCTCGGACGTGTGGCGCCGCGGCGTTCCCCTGACGACCTGTTGGCTCCAGCAGCAGGTTTGGTTTCCTCTGCTTGGCGTCCTGCCTGCGTCCATCTTGCTGTGTGAACTAAGCGCTGCTGCTGACGGGACGGGCGCCTCCTCCTTGTATGCTCGCACTTATATGGTCGAGACGCAGGGATCTCATTTCTGCTGCAGAGAAGCAACAGTTTCTGCCTCCCTGTGTTAGTCTGTCCTCAGCAACGGGAGGAATGACTCCGTTCCGCTTCCTGTCTGCTCTAAATGCCAGTTTTTAGGAGTTGCATAAAAAAGCGCAGCTCTGTTAGAGTAAAGCGATTAGTCATGAGTGACGGAGGAATGGAAGGAATGAGGTTTTTAAATGTTAATTTAAAAATTCACACAGCCAGGCAGACGAGCTCCGAGCCAGCTCCCATGTCAGAGGATGAAGAGAGCACATCCAGTTAGTCACAGTCAGAGAAACAGGACTACACTGGAAAACAGGCCAAGCTCCAACATCTAGAAACAAAGGTGTTGATGGCAGCAGCACAGCTGATATTTCTCTCCAGGATGGAGTCACAGCCAAACAGGAACAGACCAGATGAAGCTACTATGAGAAAAAGCAGAGAGAGCAGAACGTTAGAGATTGAACTAACAGATTCTGCAGAGTGGGAGAATAGAGATAGAATGATGAAAAAGGAAGTAATCCTTTTTCCACTCTATAGCTATGCTGCTATAGGCTTAGACTGCTGGAGGACATGGGGAACTCTTTCTGCACGTTTCTGAGGTTCAGTCTGTTGATGGCGTCTGAACCTCAGCAATGATTATCAGGGTTTAAGGTTCAGGTTGATGCTTCCTGGTTTGTATTCAACCCCCCCCCCCCCCCCTTAGACCCATTGACCATATATGGTCTTACCTTTGGTTTTTCATGCACACATTATCGTTATCATGTTTTGGTGGCTTGAAGATGATGTTTCTTCCTCTGCAGGGCTTTGCAGTGTTAGAGCGGCAGTTCTAACGCTGATCCACCAACCTGCGGCGGGGATGAAGCCGGATGGAGCTACTATGGAGACCTCAGAGCCTGACCAGGCTGCAGCAGCGCATCGCCCCCCTCAGGAAGCCGCCACAGAGGAAGGTCAGCCTGCAGCTGCAGCCGCTCAGAAGGCCAACGGGAAGCCTGTGGCTGTAGACCCCAAAGCCCGACTGAAGGCAGGCGGGAGCAAAGTCCAACCATCTTCCACTGGTGTTGCTGGATCAGGCTCTCGACCAGGAACCGCTTCGCACCGAGCAGAGAAGGACGCTAAACCTTCTGCAGGCAGGAAAGCAGCAGGAAGTGCATCTGCTGCAGGAGCTGCTCCTAACAGGGCAGCAGGAGCCAAGAACCAAAGCAGAGTTCTGGACAGGAGGCCCGTCGGACCCGTCAAGACGTCCTCCTTACCTGATGCAGCAGCATCCAATGGTACCAAACCCAGAGGGCCCAACGGCGCCGCAAAGAGGGCCCCTGCTCAGGCTGCCAATGGAGCAAAACCAAAAACCAGTGAGTCTCCAGAGAGAAAAACCAGTTTAAAGATTTTTATTTTTTATTTGGCCTTTATTTTACCAGGAAGTCCCTTGAGATAAAATCTCTTTTTGATGGAGACCTGATTTCTGCTCCTGTCATTGATTCCTTGTCTTTGTTCTTCTATCCAGCTGCTCCTAAATCCAACAACTCAAACTCAACCAAACCTGCAGCTCCAGCAGCATCCAAGACGACGACGACGTCAACAAGGTACCAATCCTGCTCTCTAACGGGCTAGGGTGGGAG